CCTCATTGATCACACTTCTGCAGTGACAGGAACTCTCTCCTTTCCCTGCCTTCCTCTTTTACTCCTCTATACTCTGGTTTCTCTTCAGATTGCATAAATCTTTTGCCTGTTTTACTCCTCTACTCAACTATTGCTCAATTTTATCACCAGAGTCCTTTCTTCTTAGCTTTTCATGATTTGATTAGATTTTCTCCGAAACACGTCTGACACAAAACATTGCCTTCATTTAAGGTATGTAACACTTGAATTCGATATATTTGGATATTGTAATACGATTGCCATTGTACCAATAATTAGCACCTCTTTCATGTTACAAAATTAATAGTTTTTTAGTGGTTGGAATAATTAAAAGCTAGAGTCTTAGCCAGTTTGATGATTTGTATTCGCTCTACTGTAGTTAGAATCTCTGTCCATGTTCACATCCGTCCTGTCCCCCCACACACACCCCCACTGCCCATGACCGTAGTATTTTGATGACACTGCCTCTGAGTTTTAACATTTAGTACTGCAGATCCCATACTCACACCATTTTTTTTCACATTTTTGGCTATTTTAATACCAAGAATGGCATTTACCTTACACATCTTGGGGATTGATATTTGATTATTTTAACTCTTCTAAACTAAGAACAGACCGTATGTTTCCATTCATTCAGAACGTGTCTTTTGCCCCTCAGAGGACTCCGTGCATTTTCTCCATTTGGGGTCTGTACCATTTTTGTGAAATCTATTCCTAAGAATTTTATAATTCTGTCATTTTTTTGAATGGACTATTTATTCCCGTTTTCACGTCTAGTTGGTTATTGCTAATAGAGAGAATAGCTTTTTTAAAAAATAAATTTATTTTTATTGGTGTTCAATTTGTCAACATATAGAATAACACCCAGTGCTCATCCCATCAAGCGCCCCCCTCAGTGCCCATCACCCAGTCACCCCCACCCCCCACCCACCTCCCAAGAGAATAGCTTTGATTTGCATACACTTACCTGGTCCCCATGACAAAAATTCCCATCTAAATGCAAGTCGTTTTTTGCTCTGTCAAATACCATTGCTTGGATTTTCTTTTCTTTTTTTTTTTTGATTTTTTTTATTGGAGTTAAATTTGCCAACATATAGCACCCAGTGCTCATCCGGTCAAGTGCCCCGCTCAGTGCCCGTCACCCAGTCACCCCCACCCCCCGCCCTCCTCCCCTTCCACCACCTCCAGTTCGTTTCCCAGAGTTAGGAGTCTTCATGTTCTGTCTCCCTTTTTGATATTTCCCGCTCATTTTTTCTCCTTTCCCCTTTATTCCCTTTCACTATTATTTATATTCCCCAAATGAATGAGACCATATAATGTTTGTCCTCCGATTGACTTACTTCACTCAGCGTAATACCCTCCAGGTCCATCCACGTCGAATGGTGGGTATTTGTCGTTTCTAATGGCTGAGGAATATTCCATTGTATCCATAGACCACATCTTCTTTATCCATCATCTTTCGATGGACACCGAGACTCCTTCCAGTTTGGCTACTGTGGACATTGCTGCTGTGAACATCGGGGTGCAGGTGTCCCGGCGTTTCACTGCATCTGTATCTTTGGGGTAAATCTCCAACAGTGCAATTGCTCGGTCATAGGGCAGATCTATTTTTAACTCTTTGAGGAACCTCCACGCAGTTTTCCAGAGTGGCTGCACCAATTCATATTCCCACCAACAGTGCAGGAGGGTTCCCCGTTCTCCACATTGTTGCTTGGGTTTTCCATGTATGGAAAGGTCTTACCATCTGCAGGAAGAGCTAAGCTTAGCTCTTCTCGTCACATCTATAGAGGACACAAGGGTCCCTCTGCCTTGCCAGCTGGGTCTTGGGCTGGAGAGAAGAGGACTTCTGCTTGGTTTTCCAAAGGCCACGAGGCCAGCAAGACATCTCAAGTCAGGCTCCTCACGGCTCACCCGACCTGGCCTGGGCCTCCCAGCACATTCTCTGTGTCGGGCACTCTTTGGTTGTGCAGCAAGAAACCGGCCCCACATCCCGTTTCTCCTTTGCCAGCACCACGACCTTAAACGTCTGAAGTGCAGTGCAGGGCGTGCGACTCTGCACCCTCCAAAATGCGCTCCCAGGAGTGGGCTCTACATTTCTAAGGTGAAACTGCCCCCAGGCCAGCGCCATCCCGGAGCTGTCAGGCCTTGATGTGGCTGGCGCTGCTGAAATCTGGAATCCGAGATCCAGGCCGCGGATGTGACTTCCCACTTCCGTCCATTTCAAGCTAGAGCTCTGGAATTCACAGAAATTAATCTTCTCAGGAAGCTCTGACCAGGCTGCTTTCCCCCTCGGGTTCCTCTGCCCGCAGTCGCCGCGTGTCCGCACGCAAACGAGGCTTCCCTCGGAGGCCTCTTTCACACGGAGCGCATCGTAACCCACAGGGATGTCCGTGTGCATCCCGACGTCAGACACACTGTCCAGCACGGGCCCTGTTGGGGCTCAACATTCCCTGGCTCAGGGCTGGGGGTCATCCCTGACGCGGCTGCAGACAATGCTTCGCAATCCGCAGGTGGCAGGTGTACATGTTCGACTGCAGGTGGAGCGCACAGCACTTTGCTTGGCGTCCATGCTCGACCTCTAACTTCCAGGTCTTAGCCTCACTCCTCTCAGCGGGGGCGGGGGGGACACAGAACCTCAGCTTTCCCCCCATCTCTGCCGCGGTTCCCGGAGTCCTGACCCGAATCCAACGGCCCCCGGTGCTCGTCCCCTGAGCCACGCGGACAAGCAAGGCTCAAATGTTTGCCTCGCTTCCCGCACAGCCTCTCAGATCCGGTGTCCGTCCTGACCTTTCGGTGCCACAGTCAGGAGCATGTGTCACGGCTTCCCCGCTCCACCGCCCAGGACTGCCCCCTGGTCACTCTCCCCGGGGCCTGCCGCCGCCCTGGCACACGTGTCACGGGCAGCTAGAGCCCTCACACACACCTTGCTCTGGCTTGCGAAGATCTTCCGGTCTAACCTGCCACGTCCTACACCGTCTGCCATCACTGAACCTTCGGCCAAGTAACCTGGGGTTCCTGTCTCCCCGTTCTGCGACATTCTTCCCCGGGGCACGCGGGAATGCACGGGTACCTCGCATACACGGGTAAGAATGAAAAATAAAATCTCAAGGAAATGAATGAAGACACGCGTTCAAACGTGGAATATTATCCAGATACATAACTTCAGAATTTTTCCAAAAAAAAAAAAAAAAAGAAAGGAGTTTGGGCCCACAAAGTTTTTGCGCTTATGTTTTTTTAAATTAATTAATTAATTAATTTTAGGTTTTTTGTTTGTTTGGTTTTTTTTTTTTTTTTGGTGCTTGTGTTTTAAAGGTCCCGGGCCATCTAGGAACAGGGGTACACTCAAGGTGGGGAGCCCGCAGGGTCAAGACACTGGGCACAAGCCCCAGGGCTGTGAAGGCCAGGTGGAAGGGTCCAGCTTAGCAAAGGTGGATGTGTGTCCGCTGATGGACGTAAGGGGAAAGCCCCTCACCCCGTGAGCCAGGAAGGAGGAAGATGTGGGACTCATTCCTGGATAATCCTGACTTTCCCAGGGAAATAGAAAAGACGGTCAGGTGCAGGAGGAAAAGCCAAGGGACTAAATGTAGAAGAGCCCTCTAGGGACGGTGCAGCAGGATCACAGAAGCACAGAAGCCCTGGGAAAGCCAGCCGGAGGGCTGCAGTTGGAAACCGCAGCCGGAGGGCCCAGCCTCCCTGCGCAGCGCCCCATGGCATCCAAAGGGGCAGGGGGCGCAGAAGCCGCGGGGAGACGGTCAGGGCGGGGAGCCTGAGGAGCGGACAGCAGCGGACGGCCGTGCGGGAGGGTCCCCGTGGCCTCTGCCGAACAGAGGCCCATCCCGGGGGGCAGTGCTCAGGAGCCGAGGCTGTGTGCACACAGCAAACGGTACGTGGCCCGAAAGCCTGTGCCCCGTCAGGCCTGCCCTGCTTGGTTAGTCACCGGTCGCCCCCTAACCCCAGAATGGCCTGGCAGGGAAGCTCTGGGAGGGAAAGCCACGGCCTCACCGCGAGCCCATCGACTCTGTGCCACAGACTAAAGAGCAAGTGTCAGGTGAGGGGCAGCCTCGGAGAGCGCGCCAAGGCCTCCGTTTGGTCACAGACGCACCAGGGTCACCCACCCGAGTCCAGTTAGGAAGCAGAAACCACAGCATGAGCGAAACAGAGGAGGTTTAGTAGAATCGGTAAACACGATAAGACAGTAACTAAGATAAAAAGAAGACCCTATGAGAAACTGCAGGGCTGGGGGAGAATGTGCTAGGAGGCATGGCTGGAAAGGTGACCCTGCCCCTCCAGGGCTGGAGCGCAGGCGTCGTTGGAGCAGGTAGAGGCCGAGAGGGCCACACGCGGCTTGCACGCTGGAGCAGTTCTGCAGACACGGCAGGGGCGCGAGCATAGGCCGGGCGAGGTCCTGCAGGCGGAGTGGGCTCCCGGACGGACCGACGGACGACGTGCCAGTGATTCTTGGGGGCGCCGGTGTCCGTGCAGACAGGGTATGGGAAGGTTATGGCCCGGCTGAGGGCACAGGGCCGTGTCCAGGTGGTCTGGGCAGGTGGCAGGGCCCGGCAGGGTGGGCACCTGCACACCCACTGTGTGCTCGGGGGAGGAGGGGCCTGGCAAGGTGGGCACCCATACACCCACTGTGTGCTCCAGGTGGGAGGATGGGCTTGGCAGGGTGGGCATCTGTGTACCCACTGTGCGTTCCGGGTGGGAGGGGCCTGGCAGGGTGGGCACCCACGCACCCACTGTGCGCTCCAGGGGGGCACCGTGGGCACCCACTCTCAGACCCACTGCGCTGGCCGGGACCTGGGGCACCCCCTCCCTCCCTCAGGCAGGGCCCCCCCACCCCCACCGATCTCAGAAGGGACTGGAACGTGCGGCCTGAGCGTGCACCAGCCACGGGAAGGGTCTGCAGCCTCCGCCGCGGGAGGAGGACGAGCCAACCGCGCGCCCAGGTCAGGTGGTACCAGGGACAGTAATGGGGGGGGTCTTTATTTTTGTTTAAAGATTTTATTTATTCACGACAGACAGAGGCCGAGACACAGGCAGAGGGAGAAGCAGGCTCCATGCAGGGAGCCCGATGCGGGACTCAATCCCGGGGCCCCGGGGTCATGCCCTGGGCTGAAGGTAGGCGCCCGCCCATGGGGCCCCGGGCACCCCCAGGCTCCTGCGGTGAAGGCGTTACACACCACACGCTGGTCCGCATTTGCTCCCCACCCCCAGGAGGTCACCTGTTGTCGCCCACCGGGCGCTGTGCCCAGATGCCAAGGAAGGGGTGGCTTATACCCCGTTCTGCAGGCTGGGGCCCAAGGCCGGGCGCCTGAGTCAGGATCCTGCTTCCACTTGACACAGGAGGACCCCGCGGCCAAGGCCCTTGCTGGTTCGCCTCCGCCTCCCCTTCCAGGAAGGCCCCTCCCACCCCCGACTAAGCCCAGGCCCAGGGCCCCACTAGCTGTCGGAGGAATCCGTGGCACCGCGTTCCCCAAAGTCGAGGCGCCGCGTCTGAACGTCAGAACCCCCCAAAGGCCTGTTCAGACACACATTCCGGGGGCCCCGCTCCCGTCCCTCACTTAGTAGGGCCGAGACGGGGTCCCGGTCAGGAGAAGGCAGCTGGGAACCAGGGCCCTGGGAGCCGGGAGGTCCTCGCCCACATCCAAGGCTCCACCTGCGGGCCCAGCATACAAGAGGCCGAATATCCTAATTCTCTCCAGCAAACACTCTCCAAAGTTTAGCCCCACTTCCCGGAGACACTCGAGGGTCCCCAACTGGGCGGGACCAGCGCAGCCCCGGCCCAAGCCGACTCCTTCAGGACTCCCTTCCTCCAATCTCAACAAAGCGACTGGCCATTTGGGAAAAACTGCCCCACCCAGAGTAACTTTTTGTTTTGTTTTGTTTTTTCCTAACCCGCTCCCATTTCCCCTTTGCAAATCAGTTACAGCAAATAAACCCTGAGAAACCCCCGTTTCTCACAGCCTTTCTCTGAAAGAGGAACATGTCGCCCTTGATAAAGCCAAATTCGCAGAAGCAGCTGTGCCCCCGAACTACCAACCTGTCATTCAGGACCAGCTCTTTTCCAAAAGAGACCCGAACCCTGAGACCGCCCGCGGCCATCCGGGAGCCGCCCAGGGGAACGCGGCGTGGGGCACGCATCTTGGAAGAGCTCGAGTGCCCGTGTTAAGGGGCTCGCGCGAGAACCCAGCCGTCCGCTCCCCTGGAAAATGTAGGCTCTTCCTCTATTCATGCGCCCCTTCCTCTCCGACTTCCTGGGGCAGGAGCGCTTCCCAAATCGTGGCCGAGGGCGCCACCCCAACACCGACGGCCGCACAGGGCCTCGAGCGCGGTTCCCTGCTTGCCCCCGGACCTTTGCACGCCCAGGTTTACAGAACCCCTTGCGGTTTATAAACTTGCAGTTTACTGAGAAAGAGCTTTGACCTTAGACTGTTAAAGGGCTATGATGCGAGCTGCCCTGTGAGTGTCCTGTGTCCCCGGGGCAGCCCTTCTTCACCCTCAGCCGCTGCGCCCATGTCCTGGGCCCTTGGGGTCCTGAGTCCTACACGGGCAGGTGCGGCGAGCACAGTCACAAGATGTCTTGATAGGAGCTGAGAGGGCGTAGGGGGGAGAAGGCATTAAGGGGGCCGCAGGGGATGAGGCAACGGGGAGAGGCTGAGGGAAGGGGGATCAGGAAGGGGACACCTACCGGCGCGCCCTGCACCAGGCGGCTGAGCATCCAAGGCACCCGATCACCAGGAGGGACCCCAGCACGGCCACGGCGACCAGCCACGCGGAGGAGCGGCTCCCCCCTGCGTGCGGAACATAGGCTCTCACCCCGGGACCCCTCCCTATGCCCACGGGAGGGTGTCGCAGCGCTTCTCACCGCCTCCCCCCAGGGAGCGCCCACTCTGTTCCTCTGCAATCCAGGGAGCCCATCTTGTCTCCGGGCCTGGGGGCCAGGACCCCACGCGGGAGCACAAGGCGGGATCCTGCGCAGAGGAAGGACCCCGCGGCCAGGCCGACCTGGGTCAGCTCTTCCACTCCCCCCGCGGGACCAGGGCCAGTGGACCCAACCCAGCTCAGTGCCCGTCCCTTCAGCCCTAAACTCAGAAGAATGGCACCGGTTTCAAAGGAGCTGGGGACAAGGGGCCGCCAGGTGGGGCACAGTCAGGGAGCCCTCAACCCCACCTGGGGGAGGGACCCTTCCTGCGATTCTTTATTTGACACCTACTTCTGGACCTGCAAATTGGTCTCTTTTTTCTTAAATATGGGACATTTATCTCAACCCCCACCCCTTTTTTAAAGATTTTATTTGACAAAGAAAAAGAGAAAGAGAGAGCGTGCACTAGCACAAGCAGGGGGTGGGGGGGCGGGCAGCAGAGGGAGAGAGAGAACCAGGCTCCCCAACAAGCAGGAGCTCCACGCGGGGCTGGATCCTACGATCCCATGACCTGAGCTGAAGGCAGACGCTCTGCCGACTGAGCCCCCACCCACGGTGGACGGTGCCCCATCCTGCCCCTCTCCTGTGCAGACTTTATTCCTCTATGTGGCTGCCCTCCTGGCGGGGAGCGGTCTCATCTCGGAAACTCCTCTGTCCTGTGTGTCCTAACCCACCTGTGGCCCAGGCCCCCCTGGATGCTTGCAGACCCACTTCCCGTGCCCAGTGGGGCCCCAGCCCCTCCTCACCCCAGTGGAGGACCATGTCATGGCCCCCTAGACTACTGTGCTTCACCCGGCAGGACAGGCCGGCCACCTCCCGGGCCGCCACGTCCAGGGTCGCTCGGAGATACCACGTGCCATCAGCATGGGGCAGGACGTCGCCTTGCCGGGTGCCCCGCTGCTCCTGCTCGCCCCGCATCCACGTCACCCACACAAGCTTGGGGTGGAAGCCGGAGACGTGGCACACCAGCCGCAGACGGCCAGGCCCGGGAGCGGGGCCCGCGGACAGCCAGGCCTCGGGTCGTACTGTGTCCAACGAAGAAGGGGGGATCTCAAGGTGGCGACCCGCTGGGGGTGGAGGCCCTCCTGACTCTCCTTCACAGCCCCCCCATCCCAGGCTCCTGGGGGGCCCTCCTCCGGGATCCCCTGCAGAGCCCTGTAAGGTGTACTGCTCTAACTGTTCCTTGGTCTCTTCAGGCAGAGACCCTGCCTGACCCCCAGTGTTTACCTAATTCAGCTCCTGGGACCCCAGGGGGCTGGGTGAGTGTCTGGGGGATGAGTAAACACCCTCAGGCCCCCACCCCACTCCCCGGTGACCCCAGAGCTGTGAAGTCTGGTCCCAGCGTCCGTGCACCGGGGTGCAGGCAGGGGTGAGAGGGGCAGGCTCACCTTGCTTCTCCAGTTCCGACCTCCCTGCCTCGAGCAGGCCTCTGACAAAAGGGGGGCAGGTGTCCTGGAGGAGCTCCTGCACCGTCCTCCTGGTCCCCTGGTCCTTGTTGAGCTCCTTGGTGGCCCTGTGCACCCAGCGCGGGGCCTGGGGTGCGGGCACCCAGTGAGACCCTTGGAAACTCAGGATCTCTTCCCCCTGGACGGCTGCGTGGAAGAAGTCCTCAGAGGTGTTCCCGGGGCGCACCTCGCAGCCGGCGGACAGCTGGATCTCCAAGGGGTCTGCGAGCAGGCGGGGCGGGGACCAGGTCAGGGCGCGGGTGCGGGTCGGGGGCCCGGGGAGGGGGCGGCCGCCGGGGCCCGGGGGCTCACAGCGCAGCTGCAGCATCTTCACGAGCTCCCGCACGTCCCGGGTGAAGCTGCGGCGGTACAGCCCCAGCTGCTCCTGCAGCGCGCGCCACCTCCCCGCGCCCCACACGCCGCGCGCCCAGGGCCGGAGGCAGCGGACGGCGTCCGAGCCGTTGCTCCAGCCGAAGGCCTGCAGCTCCCCGAGCCAAGCCTGCCCGTCCGTGCGCGCCCAGCTGCCGTTGGCGAACACCGACACCTGCAGGCAGCGCAGCCGGGACGGGGGCGGGGGCGGGGACGGGGACGGGGACGGGGACCGGGACGGGGGCGCGGCGGGCGGCTCGCCGGCGCCCAGGGGCAGCCACGCGGCCCACAGCAGCCACCAGCCGCGCGGGATCCGCACCTGCGCCGCGGCCCGTCTGGGGCCCCGGGACCCTGGGTCTCCGGCGCCCCCCGCGCGCGCCGCCCCGCGCGCCCCCAGGGCTCCCCCGACCCGCGGGGCGATCCCCCCACCCAGCAGCGGCCGCGGAGCACCCAGGGCACGGGCTGGGGAGCCCACCTCGCCGCCCTCCCCGCCCTCCCCGCGGGATGGCCCCTCCGCCCCAGCCCTCCCCCGCACCCCCCCCCCCCCCCCCCCCCGCCTCCTGCCGCTCTTAAAGCCGCTCCTCGGCCCCCCTCCCCGCAACGCCCCTCCCCGTCCCCTCCTCCAATCTCCGTCCCCGGCCCATCCTCCCCCAGAGCCCAGATCCCCGCCCCATCCGAGCCCACAAACTCCAAGGACCCGCCCCATCCTCCCCCCAGCTCCCATCCCCCGCCCCATCCTCCCCCAGCTCCCATCCCCGCCCCCATCCACCCCCCAGCTCCCATCCCCCGCCCCATCCTCCTCCCAAGCCCCCATCCCTGCCCCATCCTCCCCCCAAGCCCCCATCCCCGCCCCATCCTCCCGCCAGCTCCCATCCCCCGCCCCATCCTCCCCCAGCTCCCATCCCCCACCCCCATCCTCCCCGCAAGCTCCCATCCCCAGCTCCATCCTCCCCCCAGCTCCCAGCACCCACCCCATCCTCCCCCCAAGCTGCCATCCCCCACCAGTTCCCAGCACCCACCCCCATCCTCCCCCCAAGCTCCAATCCCCCATCCCATCCTCCCCCAGCTCCCAGCACCCACCGCCATCCTCCCCCCAAGCTCCCATCCACCCCGCCAAGCTCCCATCCCCAGCTCCATCCTCCCCCCAGCTCCCAGCACCCACCCCATCCTCCCCCTCCAACATCTGAATCCCCTGCCCCTCCAATCTCCTTGCCCCCACCTCGCACCCCCCAATCTCATCAATATCGCCCTCAGTGTCCCCATCCCCTCTTTCCCCCCAATCCAGGCTCCTGTTTCCCTCCCGCCCCCCTGCCCCTCCCACTCACCCCCTGCCTCTCCACCTGCCCCCTCTCTGCTCCAGCCCCTCCTCCGGTCACCCTCCAGATGTGAGCCTCTGCCCGAAAGGCCGAAAGCCCATTACAACTGCACGGGGACAGCAGGGCCCCCACGGCTCCCAGTGGCCCTGAGCAACCGGCAGGGGCTCCAGAGCGTCCACACTAGTGAGGACAGGCCCCTCTGGCAGGTCCCAACCTAGACGCCCCAACACCTCCCAGCCCCGCACTCCTCTTACCCGAATCCTGGGCAACTCCTCCAGCCCCGTCTTTGGAAGCATCTCAAGTGTGTCCTCCCTCTACCTTTCCAGCGCTGCCACCGCCCTAACCTGCAGCTGCATCTCCGGAAGTAGGTTTCTTAAGATAAAGACCACAGAGGCGGATGGGGCCTGGCCTGACCTTGGTGGCCCTGCTGTGTCCCTCCCAATGCTCCGTGCCTGGCCCAGCCACCAGGCTTTCAGTTCCTCCAACATGCAAAGCTTCTTCCTGCCCAACCTCTTTGTACAGAGTTCCCTCCACTTGGAAAGCTCCAGGCCCGCTCCTCCTCTCACCCCCTTCTGATGGGTAGTTTCTCTTACTCAGACCTCAGCTCAAAGGTCACTTTCTCAAGGGGTCTTCCCGGATCTCCCTGAATGAGCAAAGGCAGACAGGAAGGCCCTAAGGGGCCCCTCTCCGCTGCCAGCTGTGTCACTCCCCGCTCCCCGAGCACATCTGCTGGTAATTACAACAAGGAGAAGAGGGCCAAGCTCTGTCTCTCTCCTGGCCCTCCCGGCCCCGCGGAGCCTGCGGGGTGCAGGGACAGTCCTCCAGAGACAAGGCTGTGTCTGGGAGGCAGCCCTTACCCAGCCCGCCTCGGGGCGCTCAGTGCGGCCCCAGAACACTTTGAGACCACACGCACAAATTATGTGGAGGCCCAGCTGCTTGGGCACCTCCCTGCGGCTCGGGTCATGGTCTCAGGGTCCTGGGATCGAGTTCCAGCATCGGGCTCCCTCCTCGAAGGGGAACCTGCTTCTCCCTCTCCCTCTACTGCTCCCCCCGCTTGTGCTTTCTCTCTGTCAAATAAATACAATCTTCCAAAAAATTGTTTGTTTTGCAAGGGGAGAGTGACTGAATTAAGCTATAAAACTGCCCAAATAGTGGCTGGAAGCCCAGAGAGGAGGCGGAAGAAGTAAGGGATCGACGCTCTCCCAATCCCAGCGTGGTGCCTCATATAGCATCCTCCCAGTGTCCAGCCTCCTGTCAAACTTGAAGAATCTGTTTATAGTTTATCTGCATCCTTGAATTTTCTAGTGCTAATATCCTTTCTGACTCAAGAACTGTTTGGGATTTTTTTTTTTTAATCAGAAACAAAAGCCAGGTAGCATGACCGTCAGAGGTTGGGGTTATGGAGGAGATGGGCCAACGAATTTTCCAAAGGTCGCGTGAGGCAGATGTGTTTAGCCCCGACAGCTTTAGCTGCTTCCTTCTGGAGGAGACTCATGGAGTCACCGGAGGACCCCGGGGGGCAAGGCCAGGTCCCATCCCACAGGTTGGGGTCACAGAAGCAGGGCACGGGCGTCATCAGGAGAAGGGGCCAGAGTGCTCCCCCGGTGCCGGGAACCAGCTGCCATCCAAGCTCCCAGATCAAGCCTGCCCTCGCTTCTAGAGCATTTTTGGTTCCCCAAGAGCCGTCACATGGGCCACTTTGCATGCCCCCCATAACAACTGCTGGAGAGAAGGGTCATCACCCCCGGGGGGCCAGGGAGCGGCCTGGCCACAGCGACATGGGCCAGCACTCCGACTGAGGTCTGCTAACCCCTGGCCCAGGACTTCTTTTTCTCAGGGCTGCATTCTGGGGGGGGGGGGGGGCACGTCCTACTAGGAGGTAGGATGATACTAGGTGACAGGATTCCTATGGTTTCCTTCAGCCTCGCGGGTCCGTGACCCCAGGCCACCACGGTCGAGGCAGGGTGGAGGCCGCTCTGAGGATCACAAGGGTCTGACCAACAGTGGCCACAGACAGGACCAGCGCTGGAGGCCCGGGCGGGCGCCTGGGTCTGCGGCTCGACTACCACCCGGCCTCCCGGTGTGGGGGGGAAGGAGGCCCCGGGACTGCCCAGGACCCCACAGGCCTCGGCCTGGGCTTCCCGCGCCCCCCGGGCTCCTTCCCACACCGGGCCTGCCGCTGACCTGGGCCGACCCCCGCGGGCTCCGCCCGACTGTCGTTGGCGCTCCGACCCCCCGAGAACTGGCACCCGCGTGTCGCTCTCGGAAATGAAAGGGCTCCTTTCCGTTCTCACCTTCTGCCCTGGTCTGACTCGCAACGGTGCCCAGCGGCCACTACACTGCCGGCCGCACGGCAGGTGTCAATGCGTGTTTATCGGGCAAGAATGTCGCTAAGCGCGTCTAGTCTGCGGCGTTCTGAGCCGTCTGAGCGGTGACTTACTCCGTTCTGCTAAAGGCTCCAAAAGGTGTCTTGCCAGTCACATCCCCTGCGGTCTTCAGCACCTACAACCGTCCCAGGCGCGCAAATATTTTTTTAAAGAGAACGAAGACGGGTGGTATTAACTCACCTTTCACTGCTGGGCTAAGCGGTGCGAGGACAGATTTCCGCGGGTGTCAGTGGGGATGCTGGGCCCCTAGCTCGGCTGCGTTCTTCCCAAGTATCACGTTCTTCGCACCGAACCTCGCACCTTCGTCCCTAAGACCCCCCGGCAGGCCCTGACTGTGCTGGCAACGGAGGTCGGGGAGGACCGGCGGATTTTCGGGATTTTCCCACCTAGGAGAGGAATGTGAGTAAGGGTGTGAGGTTCCGGGACCCTGGGGCCGAGACGGCGGGGAGGGAGGAGGAGGGGGAGCTGGGCACCGAGGTCCCCGGTCCCACTGCTCAGCCATCAGTACAGGTAGTGCTGCCAGCAGCAGTACGGGCGCAGCAGGAGCCGGGCCAGTGTGGACGTTGCCTGCGCACGCTCCTCACATGCTCCAGGGTGAGCCCTTGGTCCCCACCCGAGGCGGTGGTGAAGCAGGGTCCCCGCATCCACAGCTGGGGTCACAGATCACGGACCGGGTCTGCGCAGCCTTGGCTCACAGCTACCCCGTGGGCGCTGTGCACACCTGACGGCACCACCAGCCCCGGTGCACACCCGTGCACACTAGTGCATGCCCAACGGCACCACCAGTCCCTGTGCACATCCGTGTACACCTGTGCACACCTGATGGTACCAGCCAGCCCCCATGTACACCCATGCACACCAGTGCACACCCATCAGCACCACCAGCCCCAGTGCCCAGTGCCCACTGTGCACACCCGTGTGTGCCCGATGGCATCGCCAGCCCCGGTGCACACTCGTGCATGCCTGTGCATGCCCAATGGCACCGCCAGCCCTGGTGCACACCCATGTACACCCGTGCATGCCCGATGGCACCACCAGCCCCTGTGCACATCCATGTACTCCCATGCATACCCAACAGTACTGCCAGCCCCCATGCACACCCAACGGCACCGCCAGCCCCCGTGGACACCCTTGTGCGCCCGATGGCACCGCCAAACCCTGTGCACACCTATACATACCACGCGTGCCCTACAGCACCGCCAGCCCCCGTGCACACCCATGCACACCTGTGCACAGCCGACGGCACCACCAGCTCCCATACACACCCTTGTGCGCCCGATGGCACCGCCAGCCCCGTGCACACCCATGCACACCCGACGGCACCACCAGCCCCAGTGCACACCCGGGCACACCCAGGCACACCGAGACCCGTGTTCACAGCAGCCATGTGTGCAAGGACCCCGCACTGCAGCCAGCCAGCTTGGGAGCCCTCGCGCTTCCTTAGGTGGAGTTTTCAGGTATTTCTTTCGTTTCTGAGGCTCCCAGTTATTATATTTTCAGGGCTGCTTCTCCAGGGCCCCTGTGAGTCGGCCCTAGATGTCCCAGCACAAACCCGCTGCAGTTTCTCGCTCTCCCCTACGTCTCTTCGGCTCACAGTTATTCTTTCCTCCCTTTTCCCTCCCTTCCTGCACTTTTGGGTACTTTTCTGGGGACCACCTTCTACGTCACCAACTCAACTATCTCAGTTGTGCTACTGACTTTTTCACGGACTTGCTAATACTGGAGACTGGTTCCTAAGTCCTTAAATTAGGTCCAACTGATTTTTTGAGGAAATCCTACTGTTTTCATCATACTGTTCTTCTTCTTGTGAGGGTTTCTCTTCCTTTTTTTTTTTTTTCCATTTTAGCTGATTTTACATTTTTGGCATACTTGTTTTATTATCTTTTACCTTACTTCGTTACCTGCAGCTCTTGGGACGTGAATTTTCTTACCGTGACTGCTGACTCTTCCACGAACGTAACGAGCACTGTTCTTACGTCCTCCTCTCCGTACACTTCCATTGAGGTTTTATAATTGTTTCCCTGTGAGCGTCCCATCTGACCTATATTGCAGGGGAAATTCATGGAGAACTGTTTTGCATTTTGCTGCTGGCAAGGTCCTAGGAATGCCAACGGTCCCCATCAGTTCTTATGTAATTCCTCAGTGTGAGGCTCACTGTCCTGGTGGATGATATCAGGCCTCAAATCAGCGCATATCGCAAGACTGGAGGGTAATTTCTCCAGCATGATTGATATATATATATATATATTTTTTTTTTTTTAATTTTACCTAAAGCCCTACTGAACTTTCTCATCACTTCCTGGGGTCTATAGCAGGGTTTTCTTGGCCCCTTGTCATAGATTTTACACCTATTAGAGGAGCCAGCATCATGAAGGGGACCCATCTCACAAATTTCTACCTTCCACAATCCCAAGCCACGTCTCCGGTCCCTGCCTGGGCAGAGCAAAGCCAGCCACCAGCACGTAGGTGTAAGCCGGTGAACTGCCGCCGTCCCTCCCTCTATGGTGGGTTCGGGGCTTCTCTTTTGCACAGGCAGGTCTGGGCTTGACTGTGTGTTTATCATCTTCGGGTGAAATGTACAAGTCTCTGAACCCCAAGCTGGAGTGCAGCGGGTGTGGGGGCGGTAGCCCCTATTACCTAACTGTGTTACTGGAGACTATTCACCACGGTGTTGGATATTGTTTGGTTGGTTGGAGAAGAGCATTTACAGTGACTCCTGTCCAAAAGGAGTCATTCAAAACGGGGAAGAGTCTGAGATCCGTCAAAACAAAAAGCAATTTAAGGAGCTTGCCAGACCAGCCCGTGTCTGAAGATCCTTCCTGCGTCCTTCGTTCACTCGGCGGCTGCTCTGGCAGGTGGCATCAGGCCCCGGGTGCGAGAGTCACCGAAGGCACAATGTAGCTCGACACAAGAGTGGGACAACCTTAGAGCCGCTACGGGGACTCGGTAAAAGACGGTCTGATTTTGTGTGTGTGTGAGCTGGGCCCGGAGCGGTGCCTGTCCTGCATCTGCATGACCACGTGCCAGACACGCTGGTAAAGAAGTTACTGCATGGGGGGGGGGGTGCCTTGCGATTCTAAGACTCCTTGGTGCGGTGATAAAGCTCTAATGTCACGGGCTCTTCCCTTCATGGTCTGCGGCTCAAGTAGCCTGGAAATCCACGCGTGTTGGCCACTGATGAAACGGAACAAAGAGGGATCCCTGGGCAGCTCGGCGGTTGAGCACCTGCCTTTGGCCTAGGGCGTGACCCCGGGGTCCTGGGATCGAGGTCCGCGTCGGGCTCCCTGCTTGGAGCCTGCTTCTCCCTCTGCCTCGGTCTCTGCCTCTCTCTCTCTCTCTCTCTCTCTCTCTCTGTGTGTGTCCCTCATGAATAAATAAAATCTTAAAAAAAAAGAAAGAAAGAAAGAAAGAAGAAAGAAAGAAAGAAAGAAGAAAGAAAGAAAGAAAGAAAGGAACAAAATTCACAGGTTAACCGAAAAGAGGGAGGAAAACATGTCTTGAATGGCTGCTTTCTCACATCCTACAACTTTCCCTTCAAGGAGAGGACGGGACACCTCGCCCTTTGAACCTGGTCCAGAACTCCAGGACTCACAACCCACAGATGAGGAGCCTCTGAAACATTTTGCAAGAAACACACAGCTACACTTGCCAGGGGTGTTGTCTACACAGATCACGCAGATCCGGGGATTTTTCATCCTCCCCAGGGCCTCTCATCCCTTCCCTTCCCCTCCTTCCAGCCTGCCCTGAATCCCCTCTCCGGCTCCTGCTCTCCTACATCCGCCCCCTGCTCCAGCCCTCGTCACAGGCGGCATCTCAGGGGCTGCGTCTGCCCCGGGGGCACAGAAATGGACGTTACTGACACAAAATGGGGTTCACACTGTGACCGCCATGGCCCAGCTCGGGCCCCGACTTTTCGACCCTTCAGTGACTTTCTGTTTCACCCACAGCCCACGCGCTCCGTGAGGGACGGCATGTCAACCAAAGTTCACACCAGTGAGGGAAGGAGCTGAGGGAAGTGGGCACTTCTGGCCGCCCAGGACGCAGGGAAGCTCGGCCACCTGCCCGGGGCCATGCAGTCGCCAGCGTGAAGTACGTTCCGGGCTTTTCCACCAGGAAATCACGTAAGACGCCGCGTTCATAATCTGAAAAATAGCGATCCCGCGCTAAAATGTCCATATTTGGGGTGCATCGGGCTGCATGTATTACAGGGAGTCGCACCTGGCTCTTTTTACCTTTTTTAACATGACTGCCGGGCGCTTTTCAAGTATGTATGTGGCTTCCGCTCTACCTTTAAGTAGACGGTGCTGTCCTAGCCTCATCCTAACTCTCATGGACAGCAATCCCGTTGTGCGAGGCCGTGCAGGTCCTGCCGGCAGGTGCCCCAGCTCCCCACGGAGGCCAGCGTGGCCCGCACAGCCGGGCAGCCCTGGTCCAGTCTCACTTGCACCTGCCGTTCTCTAAGCATCAGGCGAGGGAGGAAACACAAAAGATGCTACCTGTTTGCTATCATAGACCCTTTGTTCCTTTGCCATAGCTTGGATTTTTTCACTTATAATTAAAAATATATTAAAAATAAAAAAAAATATTAGGGATCCCTGGGTGGCTCAGCAGTTTAGCGCCTGCCTGCCTTCAGCCCAGGGCATGATCCTGGAGTCCCGGGATCGAGTCCCGCATCAGGCTCCCTGCAAGGACCCTGCTTCTCCCTCTGCCTGTGTCTCTGCCTCTCTCTCTCTGTCTCTTATAAATAAATAAATAAATAAATAAATAAATAAATAAATAAATAAATAAATAACATCTTTAAAAAATATATATTAAAAATAGTGACATAGGGGCATCTGGGTAACTCATTCCGTTAGGCATCTGGCTTGCCCTCAGGTCACGATCTCGGGGTCCAGGGAGGAAGCCCCACGTCGGGCGCCCTGCTCAGCGGCGAGTCTGCTTCCCCCTCTGCCTCTGCCCCTCCCCTGCTCGTGCTCATGCTGCCTCTAATAAATAAAATATTTCAATAAATAAATAAAAATAGTTGTGATATATTAAGTTTCCATACGTGTGTAGATAAGGCTATTGTATTGGAAGGGACATCTCTAAGATGTTCACAGCCTTTTTTCCGAATCAAGATTTCAACAGGCGACCTTTGTTTGGTTCCACAGTGTAAGGGGTTTTCTGAAATGCGTACAAGACATGTAACGAAAGGGAGGGTGGAAAACGTTAATTTATAACCCATCATCCAGGCCTGATAAGGCACAGGAAGTAAAGTCTGTTTCCTGTGCTTATGAAGGGGAGGGAAAGCGGGTTTTCTGGGAGTTCTGCAAACCCTACCGACACATCAAACAAGCCGCTGGCCAAGGCGGCAACAGGTAATCAGTACACGAGGAGGATGTCTGGCGGGGGGGGGGGGGGGGGAGGGCTGTCGTCTGTGCACCAAGGCCCGGATGAGGCCACAGAGCTCAGGACATGGGTCCCTTCGTCTTGAAGCACCAGTCACCCGCCAGCCGCACACCTGAGCCGACCAAAGTCATGGGGCGCTTGGGAAACAGCAGTGGGGTCCCCGAAGAACCCGAAGACGCACGCGGTTTCCTGTCCAGCCCCAGATGTGCCTTCCTTGGCCGGGGAGGCGAGACGCGGCAGGACCAGCCCTGCCCTCTGAGCAGCCGCCTCCCCCGGGTCCGCGTCCACGTCCCACCAGCCCTCCCCGCCACCCCACTCCCACCCCCATCTGTCAGCCAAGAGGCTGGAAGGGAGAGCGTGAGTGATGGTTCCCTCATCTGCTCCGTCACCTAAGGGACCCGGGACACGCGGCTCGTCAACTGCGCCCCAAGCAGGAGGGCCAAGGCCCCGCTCCGAAGAAGCCACCTTGCAGCAGCCAGGGAGCAGGTGCAGCGGGCTCCCGGGGCCTGCTGACGTCCCCCGTCAACAGACTCCCTCCCAACAACCCTTTTGGTCGGGAAAAGGAGGAAGTCACTCTCTTGACCTTCCAGGGCTTTCCACAAACACGTGGTGCCCATCCCTGTCACGCCCCTGCACCTCCCATGTATAAATCAATCCATTTGCAGCGGGAAGACTCAGGTTAGACCCCATAAGGCCTCTTTCAAGTAGAGCTCAGGCAGCACCACTTCCCCTTCCAAGCACACTGCTGTTCCCTCTTCTGCTTCTCCTTCCTCTGTACACTTTGTTTTCCCAACAGTGTGGTTCTCCAGCCCCCCGGGGGTATGAATCACCCAGGGAGGCACGATGTGCAGCCCCAGGAAACTCCCAGCAGGCGGGCAGCAGCAAGGCCTGCCCTCACTCACAGAGACAGGGAGGGTGACCTCGGCACCCAGCTCATCCGACCCTTTCGTTTTTCCAGGGACAGTGAGGCGCATCGAGGGGAGCTGCTTCGTGGGAGAGAATCAAAGGCCCAGAGCAGTCTTCCAGACACGAGGGCGAGCAGGGAAAAGAACGGCTGACGACAGACGCCATGCAGGGAACAAGGTTTTGCAAGGGATCGGGTCTCGGGGGCGCCGGCCCCAGGGCCCTGCACCTGTCGGGGGGGACGCAGCAGCAGGTGAAGTGGCTTCCCAGGGCCTCCTGGTCGGGGACCGCGCCCGGCGTGTCGATGCGGGAGGCCTTCCGACTCCCCGATGCCAAACACGGTCACGTGAAAACGCCGCTCCCACCCAGAGACGCGGGCCCCACCTCGGACCTTCCCCCCTCGCAAGCCCACGGGGTACCCGAGCGTTCTCACCACGCTGCTCGCATTTCAGTGGCAGCAACAACCCGGGAACGATCCCACTGCAGAGACCCTAGCCCCAGTCACGCGGACTCCAGGGCTGCAGTCCTAACGTGCACGTTAACAGGACGGACCTAAGGCTGGGGGCAAACAGAACGAGACCCATACGGGCATTTGTCACATGGAAGGACGATGGCGAGAAGGAAATCAAGGGGCTTAGTGGGACCCAACACAGGTGGGCTCGCTCCTTCGACGCGTATTCACTGAGCACCGACGACGCGCCGAGGGCACCTGGTGCCCAGGACATGGTGCAGGCTGGGGCCTCAAGCCTGGGGACGGGCCCGCGGGATGGAGGGGACCAGCATCCAGGTGGATGCGGGGCGACCGGGTATGGAAGTGAGTCTCGTTTCCTTCATCTGCTGCAGATCGGAGCCGGCGGTCAGGACGGGCAAGGCCTCGACGGCCCTGCATGAGCGGAAGGCAGGCCGGAGAACAAGGGGCGCCCGGGTCAGGTCGGGCGCAGTCGGTTACCACCCAGCTCCGGGCTGCAGCTCACGTCAGCATCCGTTGGCGGCTGTGGGACCGGGTCCCGCGTGGGGCTCAAGGGGAGCCTGCTGGAGACTCCCCCCCCATGACCGTGCCTCTCCCTCCGCCCCTCCCCTGCTCATGTGCGAGCTCGCTCGCTGCTCGCTGTCTCTAAAATAAGTACATTATAAAAAGAAAATACAACCGAGCGTTTTGTGAAAGTGGGGCTGACATGAGACGAGTGTGAAACACGCTCACCCAGCCCCTGGAGGAGCTCCGAGGGCTGGCAAGTGAGGGAGCCCTCCCGGCCTGCTGGCACCTCCCGCTCTCGCGGCCCGGCTGGAATGCACGGGAGCAGATACTCGCCAGCTGACTCGTCTCCCGCCGCGTCCTCTCGCCCTAACTGCGTCCTCTCGCCCTAACTGCGTATTCACTCCCGTTGCCACCCCCTGATCCCCCGGGGACCCTAGCAGACACCTGCCAAGCAGCCGTAGGGGAGCGAGGGAGCCCCCAGCGTGCCCCTGCCTTCGCCATCCTCCCTGCACCCCGTGGCCGCCGCGGTGAGGCCCAGGCCGAGGTCTCGGACCCGGATACACGGGATGCGGGCAGGGAGGGGGGAACGTGTGCAGGGAGAAGCAGACCGCGGGCCCTGAACACGGTGCCAGGCGCTGAGAATACGACAATGGGACAACTGGGGCCTGTACAGTGAGCAGACACCGACAATCAGTCGGTGGCCCACGGCCAACCCGCAGCGGAGCTGGGCCTCAGCCCTCCACCCGCCGGACACAGGGCCAAGGACCTGCAGCCCCGCAGGTGAGAGAGGCTGGAAAGCACAGTAGCCTGCTGCGTCCTGACGGAAGGAGCGGCCCCAGGAGGAAGCCTTGGAGGACGTGCTCCTCCCGCCGGATCTGCAGGAAGGCGAACACATTAGCACCGCACCCTCCTGATGCTCACTTCCTAGTCTGGAAGACAGGCCTCCAGCAAGTGAACAAGTCCGTTCACAGCGAGATGATGCTAGAGGGAGATTAGGGAAGGCACGGGGACAGAGCAGACAGGGAGGGCACCGGTCCAGGTACGGTTGTTGGAGAAGTCCTGAGGACAGTGTCTCAGGAAAGCCCTGAGCAAGGTCACCTGGGGGTAAGGGGGTGGTTAGGGTTAGGGGGGAGGGAGAGTATTCCAGGGAGGACGTGCTTGGTGTGTTCTCACGACAACAGCGGTGAAGTCCGGGCAGCCAGAGCAGAGAGGCCTCAGGAGGAGCGGAGGAGGTCCCTGGGTGCGCAATCATATGGGGCTTGCAGAGGAATCACCGTGAGCATATTTAAGCAAATCAAAGGCGCAGTCTCACTTCTTTATGGTGGGAGCAAGGAATGCACATGCGGCTAGTATCAGTCAGACACCCCTGAGGGTAAATCCACCGCCCACAGGAATCGCAACGCATTCTCAAGCTAAATAATCACAATCATAAAATTATTTAGTCTTCCGGGATCCACCCTTGCCCCACCCCCACCGCTGCCTTCTTGTCTCCAGTAAGACAACTTAGGGCAGACCAGGGAAAAAAGGTTTCTCAACGGTTCAGGAAAATCTTTTGAGTGGGCAATGCTTCTGTGCCAGGCCAATCAGTGCACTAAGGCATACTTTAAAAAAGAAAAAAAAAAGATTTTATTTATTTATTCATGAAAGACACACACAGAGAGAGACAGAGAGAGAAGCAGAGACCCAGGCAGAGGGAGAAGCAGGCTCCACGCAGGGAGCCCGATGCGCGGGACTCGATCCCAGGATCCCGGGACCCCGGGGTCACGCCCTGGGATGAAGGCAGGTGCTCAACCGCTGAACCCTGCAGGAGTCCCTAAGGCGTGCTTTAAAAAAAAAAATGCTGAGGCCTAGTCTCCCCATTTCTGCAGGGTTCAACTCATCACACATCAACGGGCTTCCCCTAAGGTTAACTCCTCAAACCTCAGGTCCCTCCCATCGCCATGTAAGAGCCGCTGCGGGCTGCGCGGCACCGCACCTGCCCCACCTGCGAGGGACCCAGCTCCGCGAGCTGAAGGGCTGCAGGTGGGCTGCAGGTGGGCGCAGCCCTGGCCGAGGGTTCACGGCCCCGTCTCACCTAGGACGAGGCCAGGCGTGGGGCGCCCTGGGTTACTAACCCCTCTGGGGCCACCGAAGCGACGCAACAGCAAGATACGGAGGACCGCGCAGCAGGGCGAGGCACCGGCGCCCCCCTGCACCCCGTGACCCCGTGCACCCGCTGGGAGGGCCGCTTCCTCCCCTGCACGCACGCGCCCCCGTCCGCCAGGCCTGCTCCAGCGGTCCCCTCTCTCCCCCGCGGTCCTGCCATCGGGCCGTCACGCCACCGCCACGCGGCTCCTGCACGCCGGGCTCTCCAGTGCAAAGCGCGCCTCTGCCCGCGGCGGCCGCACGGACTCCAAAGATTCGGCTACGGAACTACAACACCCGTCATGCCCCGCGCGCGGCATGAGCGGCCCAGCCCCTTCCGCCCCCGTTAGCCAATGGGCTTCACCGACTTCCTCTGCCCCGGAAAAAAACACCGGAAGAGAGGGCTCATTCTGTGCTGTGACCCGTTCAGATTGACCCTCGGGGATTCCAAAAGTGCGGCACTGCACGCGAAACCAAGGTGCAGGTCCTCGGTCCAAGGACGGGACCTTCGGCGGCGTCCGTGCCGCTAATGAAGCGTGGGCCGCTGGGGCGGACGGCCGGGGCCTCGCCACTCCTTGTAGGCTCCCTTCCCACCTCTTCCGGGGCGGGTCCTGGCCTGAGGCACATGCGCAGTTCGCCTTCCCCGGCGCTTCCCGGACCTGGAGCACATGCGCAGTTCGCCTTCCCCAGCGGGTCCGGGACCTGAGGCACATGCGCAGTTCGCCTTCCCCGGCGGGTCCTGGCCTGAGGCACATGCGCATTTCGCCTTCCCCGGCGGGGTCCGGGACCTGGAGCACATGCGCACTTGCCCGCCTTCCCCGGCGGGTCCCGGACCTGGAGCGCATGCGCACTGCTCCCCACCTGCCTGCGAGAGCCCTGATGCACTGATGGTCTTCAGTGCTCTTCCAAGGACATAGTATTTTGGATAATGCTTTTTTTTTTTTTTTTAATTATTTTTTTCTTCGTGTGTAACTTCAGGATGCAACAATGGAATGCTATTTTTAAAAAGCCTAAGACCGGGTAACAGAGCAGCCCTGGGGTCACCGGGCCCCCGAAGTCAGGTGGAGCCTGGAGGCCCTGGCACAGCCTGCCGTGTGGCGCGGGGCGGCTGGGGACCCAGGACTGCGGCGAGAGCCCCGGGCCCCGTGCACCCTGCGGGAGCGCTGCAGAAACCAGCAGGTGTACCGGGCAGGTGCGGAAGCCAGCAGGTGCACAGGTGAGAAGCCAGCAGGTGCACCTGGCAGGTGCTGGAAGCCAGCAGGTGCACCAGCAGGTGGGAAGGCAGCAGGTGCACCGCGCAGGTGAGAAGCCAGCAGGTGCACTTGGCAGGTGCTGGAAGCTAGCTGGTGCACCGAGCAGGTGGGAAGCCAGCAGGTGCACTGGCAGGTGGGGAAGCCAGCAGGTGCACCGGGCAGGTGGGAAGCCAGCGGGTGCACCAAGCAGGTGCGGAAACCAGCAGGTGCACCCTCAGGTGGGAAGCCAGCAGGTGCACCTGGCAGGTGCAGAAGCCAGCAGGTGCACCGGGCAGGTGGCAAGCCAGCAGGTGCACCGGGCAGGTGAGGCGTCGGGTCCGGGAGCAGGTGCGGCAAGCAGGGCAGCGCCTTGGGGCCGCCTGGAGGAGGCAGCCCGGAAACACCGGGGCGGCGTCGACGGGCCTTTCCTCTGCCGCAGATCCGCCCGGTTCTCCGCCCACGTCCCTTCCCGTCGGACCACCTTCCCATCCGCCCCATTCACAGATGACCATCATGTCTTGCTGGGGTGGTTTCCCCGCGTCTGGTGCCCCCCTCGCCCAGCAAGCCCTGTGGAATCCTTCTAAGATGCACATGTGATCATTAAAGCAGGCCGTGGGTTCCCCTGACGCGGCCCCTCCAGCCCCCCCTGGCCTGGCCTTGGGCTGCAGCACAGCTCTCCCTAGTGCTCCAGTCCCCGCACACCAGGCTCCTCCCCGGGACCCCTCCCTACAGAAGCACCCTAATGAGCATCCTGGCGGGCGGCACCCTGCCCCCCGGCGTCCACCAGAGCCTCTGGCCACACTCCGTGCTCCCTGGGGGGTTCCGCCGCACCCTGCAGCTCTCTGCTTCCTCGGCTACCAGCAGTCCAGGCGAGTGAATCTGCTCCAAAACTTCAGCCTCACACCAGGGTTGCACCGTTGAGCCCCTCCGCACCTGCCAGGCTTCCGCTGTGGGACTTGGTTGGGGGAACAGGTGCGACGTGTCCTCCGGAGGACTACCGCTAATGTAAAGTACTCATGTAAAGTACTCGCTGTGCTGGGAGCTGGAGGGGGCACTGGGGGAGCTGGGGCGGGAGGGCAAGGCGCTCCCTCGCCTGACTGGGCCTGTAACCACAGTCATCCAGGTTCTCCGCCTTCCGGGGTACGGCTGACTGGCCCCCGACACCTTCCATCTGGAAGGCACCCAAACGCTAGCTCTAATGGGCACGCGGTTAGTTTCCTGGAAGCCCTGGGGTCACACAATCCCCAATGGGGACTCTGCTCCAGCTGTGCTGCTTCCCGCAGGCCCCAGGTCCTGCCCCTGGTGCTGCAACCGGGCTCCCCTGTTTTCTTGGGAGGAGAACCAGCCACATGGCTCAAGGCCTGCCGACCTCCGCGCTGCTCGCGTGACTCTCAGAAGCCTCAGAGACGCTTGTGCACCGGCAGGACCCCCTTCCCGCTAGCAGGCTGCCAGGGAAGGGAGCTCACAGCTTCTGCCGTCGCTGCACTGCAGCCTCTGGGTGGGACGTTCCTCCCATTGGAGCCACCATTGGCGGACCTGGAAGGGGTGAGGGAGCTTTCGTGTGTCTGGCTGGGGCCCTCCACGCCAGTGAGGACAGGATGACGGGTGAACAGTCCCCCGGAGTGCGACGCCTGTGCTCAGACCCCAGGTAGAGTCCTCGGGCGCTGTCCCCTCCCTCCACACCCCCCGCGGTGGAGCAGGTGTTCCACAGGCCCACGGAAAACTGCCGCTTGGCCTCCAGGGCCCCAGGATGAGATTGGGTGTGGTTCACAGGATGCGGTTCCCGACACAAGACCCTCCCATATCTCCCGCCCTGAATCGTCCGCTCTCCCCTTTAGCACGGGGGCAGCATTTTTGTCCAAAGAGCCAAGTTTCCGGGTGAACTAAAACACGAGCCTACCCAGGACATCACATTCTGCTGTTCATTCTGCAAATACATGGGAGCAACACGCATATGGTGGTTTTCAGGGTAACGACAGCAAAGACGGTTCCTGCTCTCAAGTCACCATCAGCCCCGGGGTGGGGGTGGGGCACACGTTGAGCCCCAAGGGCCCTGCTGGACTTCCGCATGCATGGCTTGGAGGTGCAGGTCAGGGTCCCAGGCTCAGCCTTAGGACAGGAGCGGAGTACACGGGGAGGCGGGAGTGGGGAGACGCAGGGCGGCGGGGGGTCAAGGAGGAGGAACTCCTGGGCTCCTAGCTGCGCAGTGGGGGCAGCGGACAGGCAGATGGCATGGGCTGGAGGGTGGGCTGGCAGTGCTGGCCGTGCCTGCAAGGGGGGGGGTGATGTCTGGGTGCAGGCACAGGGCCGTGGGGTGCGGGCGGCCCCCTGAACTAGGGGAGGGGATGAGACAACCAGAGGGGACCCCAGAAGACAAGGGCGGGGGTGGACTGGGAGGGAGCGGCCAGCAAACAGCAGGGCCCTGGGGGAGGGTGGGGAGGGCACAAGGGTGGGGGCTGGGGGGTTGCCTAGGGGGAAGAAGAGGGCAGGAGATGGGGGGACTGGGAGGGATAGGACGGGGGATGTAGGGCGGCTGGGCGTCGTGGGCTCTGCAGGCCGAGGGTGCAGGGCTGCGGAAGCTGACCCGGCTCCGGTCGGTAAGCCCAGCTGTCAGGCCAACGGGAGACAAGGCCGCCTGCGGGTTGTGCGCCCCAAGGACGCAGGTCTGTTCTCCCGCAGGCCTGGAGGTCAGAGGCTGCCAGCCGGGCCCCTCGCGGAGGCTCCAGGCGGGAATCTGTCTCGTGGCCCTGAGTGGTCTCCAGAGGCTGCCTGGACTCCTGGGCCTGGCCCCGCCTCGTCTTCAGAGGCAGCCACATGTCCCTGTCACCACGGAGAGCACGAGGCCACGTGGCGCCTTTTGGGGGGGCCGTCGCTCAGCCTGCGAGGGGGGTCAGTCCGCTGGCGCCTACTGGGTGCCCGGCGGATCATCACTAATAACGTCGATGTTTCTGTGCTGAGGAGACGAGGAGCCTTGGGAGAGACGTTGCAAACCCGAGAGAGACTTGGGAGCAAGGCCGCGGCCGCGGGGCAGCAGGCGGGGCGGTGCCCACAGCCCTGCAGAACCTCCCGCGGCCCTGCAGTCCACTGTTTCCACCCTGCTCCTTTGGGTGCCCACGTGCGGAGGGACCGCGCGGGCCACTCGACTTCCGCTGGCGGCCTGGCCGCCTGTTCCCGAAATCTCACCTCCGACCTATTGTGTGTCCCCATAATTCCCCCCTCCTTGGCTCAGCCTCCTTTGCAGATCCATGTTGGGATACAGCTTTGGGATAAAGCAGCAAATGAACTAGTGGAGGAGCAACTCTGGGGGATCCCCGGGTGGCTCAGCGGTTTAGTGTCTGCCTTCCGTCCAGGGCGTGACCCCGGGGTCCCAGGATCGAGTCCCACGTCAGGCTCCCCACATGGAGCCTGCTTCTCCCTCTGCCTGTGTCTCTGCCTCTCTCTCTGTGTCTTTCATGAATAAATAAATAAAATCTTTTTTTTTTTTTTTAAAAAAAGAGCAACTCTGCAGGCAGGGGAGGGGGGCTTGTGGGTTTAGGGGGATGAGGACGGAGCCGCCCCCAGCCGGAGGCTTCTTGCCCAGCAGCCTGTGTCCACGGGGTCAAGGGCACGGAGGTTGAGGAACAGAAGCAGGTCCTGCAGGTAAGACGGGTTCTTGGAGTGGGGGGGCAGGGGCGCCACCAGCCCCAGGGAGGAGCGCGTGCTGACCTGACCTGGGAGGTGCAGGCGGAGAAGAGCAGAGCCACAGTGCGAGGAGCCTTGGAATAAGAACAGCCCCACGGTGGATTTTTTTTTTTTTTTTTTTGTAAAGTCAAATGCCTGGTTGTAGGATTTCTGCACAACTTGGAGCAAACCAGTGCACCTCTGGAGCGGTGCTGCCTGCGGGGGTTAAGCCAGCCGGTCAGCCTTCGCCCGCAGCTGCGGTCCTGGGTGGGGGTCACCGGCTCTGGTCACTGGCTTGCAGACCGTCGATTCTGAGCGGAGGCCCCGCGAACTTGACCTCCTCTCTGTTCCACGTCGGCAAGTTCGGGGACTCTACAGAGGCAGGAGGCTGGGGGGGGGGGTGGCGGGCGGAGGACGTGCAGATGCATGTGTGTGTGTACGAACGGATGGCGGGAACTGGCTCTGCGGTGATGGAGCCCAAGCCTCCTGCTCTACCACCTGCACCTGTGATTCAGCCCAGGCCCGAGGCCGGCGGTGCTGTCGCCCACGGGCATGACAGGATGGCCGTCGCAGCTCACGGGGGATGCAGAGACGAGAGGCGCCAGCACAGCTCAGCTCTGCAGTGGGGAGACCGTGTGGGAAGTCAGGCTTGGGGCGCAGCCACCATGGGCCTCCCAACGGAACATGGCCTCAGGCTGACCCCAGTGCGTCCTCAGGGGCACAGGAAGCCCAGGCCTCCGACTGCTGGCGGGAGCTTCCGTGGGGTCACGGCCAGGGGCACGCGCAGGGCTGTTTCTGCTCTGGGCACGGGGAGGGAGAGAAAGCTGAGCACAGGGAGGCCACGAGTGTTGGCTGCAGGGTCACTGCTCCGAGAGAGAGAGGAGCTCAGGAGTGCGGGACAAGTGTCCCCCAGGTTCAAGGTCCCGCTGCCTCCCTGGGCGTCCAGACACCCCTGCCCGGGGTCTGCTCCCTCCCTGGGCGTCCAAGCACCCCCGTGTTCCAGGTCCTGCTCCCTCCCTGGGCATCTAGGTACCGCCACCCCAGAGATGCAAGCCCACTGGTGGTGAAGTTGACGTGTGCTGGGTGTGCCAGTGGTGTTTCCCCAGAGATGCCAGAGGGGCTTCACCATGACCCAGAGGGGAACGAGGAGCCACGCGGTCCTTTCAGGCATCCTGAGTGCTTGGCCACTTCCCGCAGGTTGGAAACCCGAGCAGGGACCATGAAGGAGACCAGCAGGCCCGGGAGGCCATCGAAGGCCTTCGGTGCCCCTTGAGACGTGAGTTGGGGCAGCCGGTCAAACCACAGCCCTGGGGAGGCCGCGGACTAGGACCTGAGGGATGACAGGTAAGGGATGGGGAGGCCCAGCCTGCCGCGGAGCCGAGAGGAGCCCCAGGGGTCTGCAGCCGGGAAGCAGAGGACACACGGACGAGGATGCTGTCGGGCCTGGGGCTCAGTTTGCGGGGGAGGAAGATGGGACCGCACACTTTACACGGTGACTACACGGTGCGTGACTCCTTCCTCCGTGAAGACGCTAAAAAATAAGAGGACAGCGATGACGTGTCCTAGTGGACGCGGGGAGGGGGGGCCAGAGCGCCGAGCTTGTGTCTGCGGTCACTTTCTCCGTCAGCTCCTCGGACAGGTGAGGGACGTGCGCCGGTGGTCGGCAAGGTCCCGTGCCCATTTCCCGGGGCTGGAATCAAGTGCTGTGCCCCCTGCAGAGGCTCTGGGGCAGCGTCTCTCTGCCTGTCCGGCATCTCCTCCTCCTCCCTCTCCTCCTCCTCCTCCTCCTCCTCCTCCTCCTCCTCCTCCTCCTCGGCGGCGTGGCGTGTCTGTCTCTCCTGCAACTCGCGTCCTCCTCTGTGTCACGAGGGCGCGTGTGACTGTGTTTGGGACCCAGTAGGATAAGCAGGAGGGGCACCTCCCCTCCCGGTCCCTAAGTCCACCCGTCTTCTGCGTGACTGTAACACCCCCATGTCCCAGGGAACTGGCACAGACGTCCAGGGAGGTCGTCCCGGGGTAGGGGAGCCACTTGCAGACCCAGGGAGAAGCAGCTCGAGGAAAGCTGCCCGGCCCTGTATCTTCCCTCCTCCCCGACTCTGACTCTTATTTAAAATGACCTACATTTGTGTCCCGTTTTATGGTTGAAAGGTCCTTATGCCTTATAAGCTCCTTCCAGTCCCATAAAAACCGGTACGCGTTGCATTATCGCTTTAATTCCGTTCGTGAGGCGTAGGTGGGGGCTCGGGGAGACGACATGACATGACTGAGGTCACGGCGCCGCACACACGGAGGGCTGCGCTCCGACCGGAGTCCTCCCGCTGGCACCACCTGCCCGCCTCTCGAGGTGGCTTCGGGAGTCCTGAGGCCCGGCTGGGGGAGCTGCACCTGGAGCTCACGAACACCGCGCGTTTCATGTAAAACGAGCGAAAGACGACTCCGAGGTGGGGGGCGGACGGGCTGGGCACCTGGGAGCCAAGGATGCACATGGCAGTGGGTTCCCTGGGCCTTCGTTTTGTCTCCTACATCGTGGGCTGGGTGCTGGAGAAGCACTATGAGGGGCGTAGACCAGAGTCTCAAGAAAAGCCTGCGGGGCTTTCTGTAGCCAAACCCTGGGAAAAGGGCAATCCCAGGAGACATCAAGGTCTTAGACCATGGTTGGCCTACTCAAGCCAAACGTGGTTCTACCCCCACCTGTGAGCAAAGACCAACTGGGCATCCCAGGGCCCCACTGTTGCCCAGCTGGAGTGAGGCGCCCCTCCCCATGCCCCGCCCTGGGTGGGGGTCCCGGGCTTCTGCATTTGCCCAAAGGTTCTGCATTTGCCCAAAGGTCCCCACTCAGAGGTAGCAAAGTGCCCTTCCCGGTCACCTGGGGACCCTGAGGTCCCTATCCACCCAGCCGTCAGGCGTCACCTGTCTCCCCGACCCTGGGCTGATGAGGTTAGGCGGAGAACTCGGACCTTCACCCCTGCCTGGCGTTGATGTCACAGGAGCTCCGCCAGAACAGGAGAGCTAAATAGGATCCAGAGTCTCGGGACACCCAGATGTCCAACAAACAGAGCTGTACGGCACACCAAGAACCACAGGAAAAAGTCTGATTTAAAAAAAAAAAAAAAAGGATGCTAACAGCAAGACGGTGCAGAGACTGGACGTACCCAACAAGGACTCTAAAGAATCATAAAAATCCTCCAACAAGCAGCTATGAATAGACTTGAAACAAAGAAGAAGTAGAAAATCTCAGAGAAGACGTTGATGACACAGAAGGAGAACCACCTGGAAACTTTGGAACCGCGCAGTAGGATCACCAAAGTCAAAGATGGCCAGGATGGGTGCGGAGGGGCTGGGGAGAGTGTCTGCGGCCGTGAGGACGCCGCGTCCGGCTGAGCCAGGCCTAGGAGCGGTCCCCGGGCGGGCAGCACAGGCCTCCTCCCGCCCGCGCACCCTCTGGGTGGTGCCCAACCCTCCAAGCTGGGCTGGCGCTGCTGGATGCGAATTCCCACCTACTTAGAGGGAATACTTAACGAGGTCGCCCGGACAATGGAGGCGGAGCGGGGTGCAGCCCGTGGGAGGCATGTTTTCTGCCCTGTCTCTCACTGGGAGGGTGTGGACACCCTGAGTCTTCATGGCCTGGGGTGATTCTGTGGCGCTTACGGGAACCTCCGCGGGTGACAAGCTGCCGTAGAGGTACACGCTCACGCTTGTTCCGACGCCCACTGGCTGGTTTTGACTCGGTCCTGTGGTTGCACACAGTTGGCCCTCGGGGTGCACGGGGTCTCTGCTATCTCTGCAGCCCCCGGGTGCGCGGGGTCTCTTCTATCTCCACAGCTTCCTGCATGTCTACCGTTATGGCCAAATGAAAAGAAGAACAGTAAAGGGGGTTCGGGGGCACCCTCACGCACAATCGGGGAGCCCTTCCCGACCTGGAGGCCGGAAGTGAGGGCTTGTGGACTAGAACCTTCGATTCAGACCCTTGCCTCCTGCTCAGGTGACGTCACAGAGCCTCAGGCACCCCGCCCACCACCTGGGGGTGCATCCATCAAGCCACCCCCTGGGGACTGTGCTTGTTGGGAAGCAGTTGCTCAACCTCGCGGACAAGGCCTCCGCCGCGGCGACATCCATCCCAGGGCGGCGGGTGCACGTGAACACCAGGGCTGAGGACGCGTGGAGGGGCTGCCGGCTGGGGTGTAGCCATCGGGGCAGTCTGTGTCCACACCCCTCGGCTCCCCATGTCTTCCTCACAACTCCCAGCCTTCCTGTGGGACAAGGGCACCCTCGCCACCGCCATAGCGGACCCCGCCTACCTGGTGAAGGTCCTCTTCTTCTCTACGCTCTTGATGACACTCGTCGCTCTCCTCATCCTGGTCTGGAAAGTCACCAAAGACAAAGGCTCCGCGGTCAGAGCGCGAGACCCACGGAAGGTGGGGACCCCGCTGGCATGAAGACGCAGGGGCTCTGCCGTGGGCACCCCTGAGGGCCCGCCCAGAGGCTCAGAGGGTGGGGGGGAGCCCGCGCCCCCGAGCCCCCGCCTCCCTCGCCCTCCGCCGCCGCGGCCTCCGGTGAGGCGGCGCGTCCCCTGGTCCCCTATCCGGGCCGTTCCCGGGTCCTCTCTCTGTGGATCTCCCAGACGGAAGCCGTAAATGGCTCTGGGTTTCTGCATGAACAGAGGAAAGGGGAGCACGGAGGGCCACACACGGATGGCGAGGCCCGGGTCCCGTGTCAGCGGGGCGGGCTTACCTCGGGACGGGCGGGAGCCCCCGGGGCGCCCACGGCTCACGGCCCGGCTCCAGGAGATCCTCGGGCTCCGACAGCTCGCCCCCCCCCCCCGAGTCCTGGGGTAAGCAGCCCCCACGCGTTGCCTGGCCCTCCAATAAAAGGGTGCCGCCCCTCGACGAGTGACTTGAGGCACCCGGTACCCCTCTCTCCTGCCCGCCCCCAGCCGCAGGGTTGGCGGACTCCGGGAACGTCCTGTTCTAACCTAGTGACTCCGTCCTAAGCGGCGATTCCCGAGCGTCCAGCGAACTGACCCGCTTCGCAAGTGGCGTCCGAGTTCAAGGGCCTGTGCTCTGGAAACGCGCAGTCTCCCTCGGGCTTGGGTCGCCCCCAGGGGCATTTGGCCATTTGCCCGGAAGGAATCAGCAGTGTTTTGGGGAAATGCCTCCGTGTCCAACCCCACTGTTAAGGCCCCCCCCCCAAGAGCCCTGCTGTCACTTAGAACCCTGGAGCCGTGTCCCGGGTCTCCGACCGTCTTCTTCCCCTGGAATCGGGCTGCGAATCTGCATCTGGACCGTGGCTCGGCCACGAGGTCCCACCTTCACCCGTAGAGGTTTAGGAGCCTGGTCACCTGGTGCTGAGGGCAGGCCCGTCCCAGCGCCAGACCCAAGGGGGGCCCACCCGGGTCAGCGGGGCTCCCAGCTGCCCGCTCCGCTGTCTCAGGAGACGTGGCTTGTTCCATGGTCCATGAGCTTCAGCAGGGACGGAGCACGGCGAGTCGGCGAGGCGCCCGGAGGCCTCAGGGCGGAGCAGGATGTGCCCGTCTCTCCTCTGCACGTGGGTCCCTTTCTCTGAGGCCGCTGGCATCGTCTCCCGCCACTACCGCACCCCGTCTCCGTCCAGCATGCCAGCTTGGGAGGCAGAGGGTGGGGTGGGGCCTTGCCCTGAGTGCACACAGCTTCCACGCGTGGCTCAGGAGGAGGGCTCCGCGGGGGCCCGAGCACGCCGTGGGGTCGGCCGCAAGGTCCTCGCCACCCCGACCTTCGCCGACCCGTCTCCCGCCCTGCAGAGCCTGCGGTCAGCCGTCAGATGCTTGCAGAGCATGTGCCATGGACCAGGCTGAGTCCCGGGCAGCGGGGCTGCAAGGGGAAGGGGCCCCATCTTCCCAGTGCACCGAGACCCAGACGTCGGGGAGGCGGTCACACGCGGGGATGCTGGTTACAAACCCAGACGAGCGCTCCAGCCTTACGGGGGGCCTGTGGGGTGTGAGTGTGGAGCTGGCCACGGGCCGGGCGCCAGGTGTGCGCGGGAGGCTGCGCGGAGGCCGACCCTCCGGAGCGAGGCCAGCACCGCGGGGCCCGTCAGGGGCGGAGTTGGCTGTGTCCACGGAGGATGGATGGGGCTTCTAGAGCAGAGAAGGACGCAGGAGGACGGAAACCTGAGGGTGGTGGTGGGGGGGTGCATCTCGCAAACCCTGGAGGGCAGGTGGCCCCAGCCGCTAAGGCCCTGCAGTTAGCAGCCAAGTGCGAGTATGACAGGCCGCTCCCTGGGGCCCTCGGTCACCCCCATGCCCCCCAAACATCCCGGTTCACATGCCGACCGGCCGGGCTGCACTGCAGGCCTAAGGCCACCCGATGGCAGCAAAGGGCCAGCAAACCGGGCCTGGGGGGCCACAGAAGGCCGGGAGCCTCCCCCTCGGGCAGCCCCAGCTGGCCCCAGCCCCCACCTCTCCCCAGGAACGAGAGCCTCTCGGGATCTCCCGGCCCCCGAGTTCATCCTTTTTAAAACACAGACAAGGAGCACGAATCACAGGCCAGCTCCGGGCAGCCGGTCGGTCCTGCCGCGGTCAGGAAGGCCGCTGACCCCACGGCCGGGCAGCTGAGGCGGGAGCTCAGAGGGGCGCACAGCCCCGCGGGACCACCCCCCTCCGCGTCCCCGGCTTCCCCGGCCTCTGCACCTGCCGAGCGGTCCGAGGGCTGCCCGGGCCCCGTGTGCACAGGGATCGTCCAGCTGTCAGAGGGTGACGGGGACCAGAGGGAGGAGGCGGAGAAGGGGCTCCACGGGTGGCTGACGGCCGGCCTCGGGCCAGCGTGATGTCGGAGACAGGCCAAGGTCGGGTGCTGGTGGGGTGCTCCAGGGGCGGATCCATCAAGGAGGCCTTCCTGAAGCAGGGACATGTTGGGGTACCAGGCAGGATGTGGGGTGCAGGGAAGCATGTGACACGCACGACAGGCCAAGGGGCAGGGAGCCCGCCGAACAGCGCAGCCGGGCCAGGAAGAGAGGACCAGCGGTGGCACAGGCCCGGACGGCCGACGAGGGTTCCCACATCCAAGCAGGAGGAACAGGGAAGGCTCTCGACGAGGGGGCGGGGGTGACAGCACCATCGAGGCACAGGCGACAGGACTGGGAAAGGCTGGCCCGCGTGCCCACTTCCTGGTCCTTCTCTGCGTCTGCGACCTCGTGATTCCCGTTCCCTCCGCCTCCAGTGCCCTTTCCTAGACCTGTCCCTGCTCGCCACTGGCTGTGAGGACGGAGGGAGGCGGAATTCTGATCTCCGTCTGAAAGCAGGTCACGGGACCGACCTTAGACCACAGCCTGTCCCCGCACGACCCCCCCATCCTTGTCTCTCCGTTGGAGATGTGGCCGCTGCTGCCCCCAGGGCCGCGTAGACAGCACGCTCCCCCTGTGGCCCGGCCTGGGACCCGGAGCTGCTGAGCTGGGGCGGGAGGAGTCAGGGCCCAAGGGTGCCCAGAGGGGTCACGTGGGGGTGGGATGGGGGTGGGTGCTAGCTTCACCACGTCACCCGGCTGCGCAGCCACCGGCACAGTGAAGCCGTGACCCTCAGAGCTGGGTCCTGGGGTTCTGGGGGCCCCCACGACCCTTCCCGGGGTGGAAGCTGCTTTGCTACAAACATCTCCGTGTTCTTTGTCTTTTCATTTTTAAAAATTTTTAAAGTCAAGCTCTGCACGCAGTGCGGGGCTGGCGCTCAGGACCCCAAGCTGGCGGCACCTCCAGCTGAGCCGGGCCTGGGGCCGGGGTGGGCAGCTGTGGTCGGTGCGCTAAGCGGCCAGGGGTCAGGAGGCTTGGCAGGGGGAACCGCTCAGGGACTTGCAGGGGGAGCCGCAAGGGGAACTGCATGGGGAGCCGCAGGGGGAACTGCAGGGGGAACCGCAGGGGGAGCTGCAGGGGGAACCGCAGGGGGAGCCGCAGAGGGAGCCGCAGGGGGAACCGCTCCGAGAACCTCATGGGGAACCTCATGGGGAACGACAGGGGAACGGCCTGGGGACAGCCCGGGGACGGCCGGAGCCAGGCCCATGTGCCCCGCCGCGGGTGGGGCGAGCTGGACGGCGCCCGCTCCTCTCCAGGGAGGAGGCCAGAGCAAGGGGGCCATGGAGCAGCGGAGCACCTGGACCAGCGCGGGCCTCCCAGGGCGGGAGCCCTGCATCTGCCGCCCCCTCGAACCCCAGCCTCTTGGCTGCCCCGCCCCTAGAGACCCCGTGTGTCCCTGAAGCCCTCATGGGTGGGCCCAGCAGGACGAAGGCCTGGGTTCCTTTAAGCCCTGTCTCCCGTCCCCGCGCCCTCCACCAGGAATTCCTGTCCGTACAGACTTAAATGTCATCTCCTGCTGCTGATCTGTCTCCTGTGGGTTGGGGTCTTGGTCCCACTAGAAGGACCACGACGGGGATGGGGGTTCTTGCTTCCCGACTGTGAGGAGTCCAGGCGCTTCAGCAGCTGCCCAAAGGGTATGGACAGGTCTGGGATCCTGACCCAAATGGTCCCCGGGGTCCTCCGGGGCATCTGCGTCCAGCGAGGCTCCCAGCTCCGAGCCCCCTGTGTGCACAGGGACGCGGGGCGATGCTCAAGGGTGAGGGGCCCCTTTCCTCGAGCGCCTACGTGTGCCAAGCCTCGCCCTCCGCGCTGCATCCCCCCGGGACTCGGGGAAGAGGAGCACACTGCGCACACGTTGAAAGACGGAGACACAAAGGCTCACAGAAGAAGCGACCGCGCCCTGCTCCTCGGTGGCCTCACACTCCCCCCAGGAGCCCCATCCCGACTCGGGCAGAGCTGGCCTCTGGCGGGACGTGACTAGCTGTGTCCTCAGCTCCACGCTGAGCGGGACGCCTGTCCCACAGGGCTCGCTCGGGACCAGGGGAGCACACATGGGGAGAGCCAACGCCGCCCTGGGCCTGCTGGCCAGACCCTAAAATGTGGCGGCCCGTGCCGCGAGGGCCAGGGAGCCAGCGCCCGCGTGTGGGGCTGGGGTGGGAGGGATGTGGCCTCCAAAGGCCTCCGTCCCACCCGCAGCTGCGGACGTAAGAGCCCCGCAGGAACGCTGTTTGCTTGCTCTCTGGGCATCGCGACCTCTGAGGGCCCGGTGGAGCTCCTGGCCCCGCCCCGGGTGGCCGGCCAGGACGCAGGCAGGTGGCGGTGGGGCCCTGGGGGGCAGCCCCGGGGGCCCGGGCTCGGAGCGCGCACCCGTGTCTCTGGGCGAGTGTGATGCACCTTCCTGCGCGGCCGGGGCGGCTGCGGCTCCGCCAGGACACGGTGGCCATCTCAGCCTTCTCCCACTGCGTGTGCTGGGCGGGGTGGCGGGATGGGGGGCCCGGGGGGGCCCGGCTGGGGGCCCCGACCCACCCACGTGGGGCCCCGGCGGCGGCTCTCCTCCGGGTGGCGGACGGCGACAGCGGCTCCCATGCAGGCCCAGGCCTGGGTGCTCCAGGGGAGGCCTGGGAGCCAGACCCCGAGCTTGGCGCCAGACTCGGGATCTCTGCAGCACCCCAGGGCCCCAAAGGCGCCGGGATCGCAGCCGTCCTGGGCTCCCAGGCTCCTCCCCACGCTCCCTGCTCCCACCTCTTCGCCTCTTCCCTTCACTTTCCCATTAAAACCTTTCCTAGTGCGTGACAGGATTTTTTTTTAACGTTCCCAGGAGAGATAGGGCAGAGGGTATATATAGCCTCCCAACCTCCTCCACTGTTGTTGTTTTTTTTTAATTAAAATGATAGTGATTTCCACTGTAATCTTAAATTTATAATTATTTTATGTTGACCGGCACGGAAGCTAATGAAAATAAATCAAAACTATAAACATATTAAGCTTGTTTTTTTTTTTTTTTTTTTTTTTTTTTTTTTTTTTTTTTTTAAGAGAAAACCATTCTGTGCTCCAGCCAAGGGAGGCTACGGGTCCGTTTCCAACCCTCCGGGAGCTGAAGGGGAGCCACGCCTCCCTCATGGGCACAAGGGGCCAAGGCGGCCTCCCTGCAGCGCCTGGCTGCCGAGGACACGGGCCGCCCGAGTGTTTGTCCGCGGAGCGTGGGGGGCCCCAGCCGCGACCTGCTGTGCCCTGGACCCGCGGAGGAGAGCCGGATGGGGGGGGTCGGCTGTCCACGCGCCCCCACGGCAGGAGGGATCCCCGGGTTCCCGTGGGGGTCCTGGGACCCCCGGAACGGAAAGCAGTCTCACGGGTGGGCCCCGGGGAGGCATCGAGCCGCCCAGACACTGGAAGGGGCGTCAGGCCACGTGGCCCGCAGGTGCTGACGGGCTGGATTTGGGGCCACCCTTGACGGGGACCATGGAGTGACCCCAGGATGAGGTACCGCATCAGGTTAGCGTCGCAGCAGGAGGTTGGGGTGCACCTCCGGGGTGAAGGGTGATGCCCCATGGAAGCCCGGCCCGTGCCCGGTGTCGGCTCCACGGAGGCTCGGGCCTCGGCCTCAAGGTGCCATGTGCCGCGTGTGTCCTGGGTTTGTGGCAGATGAAGGGGGGAAGATGCCGGCCCCCACCGCCCCCCCCCAGTGCCCGCACCCGGTGCTGGTCCCTGGCCTTGCGGGATGCCGGCGGGCACGGTGCCCGGGCGGCCAAGTCCTCCCGGGGGCGGGGGGACCACCTGGGGCACCCGCCGCCTGACCGCGCACAGGGCCGGGGCCAGAGGCACAGGCGTCAAACCAGGGTTAGTAACCGGGAGCCTGTCAATGGCCTTCAGGGTGGTTGGCCTTCAGGGTGACCAGCCCGCCCCAGTGCGTGGGAGCGTCCTCTGCGCTTCAGGGGGACGTCGGGCGGCTGCTGCTCGCAGGGACCGGCAGGGGAACAAGGAGCTTCCTTCTCCGGGGGGCGACGGCTCCGCACCCACGCGGCCTGGAGCGCAGGCCCCGGGGCACAGCCAGGGGAGCGGGGAGGCCGTCCGGCCCCGCGGGGGTCGGGGTGCTGGACGTGGGACCCACGCCCGCCTCATTCCCCCGCTTCCATGGATGAGGAAGCAGAGATGCAGGAGGTCCCAGTGACCCTTGCCACGCCAGCCGCCCGGTTGAAGAGTTCCTGGCAGGCCCCTGCACAGAACATTCCAGGCCTTGGGGCAGCCGGGGAGTCGAGTGTGTGGGGTGGGCTTGCCTGAGCCTG